ATACGTTAATAAAAATAAATAATATATAAAATTACATTAATAATAAAATAAATAATATCGAAACGAAAATATAAAGTCGGAAAAAATATTTTTTTTATTAAAAAGTATCAAAAAAATAACCAAAAAAATGGGTACCATCGAAAATCTATCAAAAAAATAAACAAATTCGGGGGTACATCAAAGTATATCAAAAAAATAACCCCTGATCTATCAAAAATGAAACTTTTGCTACTGGGGTAGATCAACACTGACATGGCAATTTAATGATCAACATGTAATGACAAAAATTTTTTGAAAACACTTAATTCTTGAAGGTCACAATTACTTTTGTGAATTTTTCCTAATTTCAAGTCGGCAAATTTTTAACCCCGTACTTTTGATGGAGAACAATATTTCCGATTTTATCAATATAATGTTTAATAAATTATGAAAGCATTTAAAGTTTTAAAATTTATAATAAATGGAAAGAATTCGTGGAGGAAGCCGATTATGATTTAGAAGATAAGACTCACCACCCACACTGGGAATAGATAGCAATTATATAGTTTTTTTTTAAAAAAAATAAATAAAAACATCTATCGTCCAAGCCACTTTAGAGGTATATTAATATTTGATCTTTACTCACGGCAAATACAAATGGATGAATGAACGAGCTGATGAATCAATGGCGGATTGATGGATGAGTGAATAGATGGATTGATGGATGAGTGAATAGATGGATTGATGGATGAGTGAATAGATGGATTGATGGAATGACAGATGAACGGACGAACATGAAATAGATGATAATAATAATAAATTCTAAATTTTCAAATGTGGTGAAATTATATTACAAAAGTTGTTTTTGAGATAAGAATTTTTTTTTATTTTTATTTAAATATAAAAAAAGATTTGATTATTTTAATCATTATTAATTATACATAATAATAAACCTAGTAATTAATTTGTTAAAAATAAAATTGAAAGTTTGTAATTTTTAATAATAAATTTTTTTGAATTCACCAATTTAAAAGCGTGAAGAATATAATTGTTTATTGTTATTGTGAATGAATAAGTTGTTAAATCGTAGAATTTACATGTTAACAGCTATCAATAATAGTAATTATTTTTTAATAATCTTCAAATCTTCATTTAATTTACGGGCTTTCCGTTTTTTCGAAGCTTCAATTATTTCCCTTATATTTATGATATTTGTAAATAAATAAATAAATAAATTAATAAATAATAAATAAATAAATAAAAATAATAAATAAATAAATAAATAAATATATATATATATTAAAAATATTTCCAAACAATAATAATTTTTACACACCTTTTACGTTTTAGTTTTTTCTTATCATAATCTGACCGGGTATCGATACCTTTACGCTTAATAGGTTTTTTACGAAGTTCTTGTTTAGATTCCTTTGTGGGATTCTTCAATTTTAACATCCAGTCTGGAACCTCACATCCAGAATCTTTCATTACATTCACGATACTATAAAATTTGAATCAAGTTATTCAACGTTACATTAATAAATTTAGTATATGTATACGTATATATATATAAAAATGGTTAATTCTAAACCCTTTACCTCTTTAAAAATGGTGCATCCTCTTTAGTGTAAAAAGTTATAGCTTCACCTGACTTACCAGCTCGACCTGTCCTACCAATTCGATGAATATAACTTTGTACGGATTGTGGGAAATCATAGTTTATCACTAGATTCACTCCTTTGAAATCCATACCACGTGCCATTAATTCTGTGGCGATCAGTACCCATATCTTGCCTTGACGAAAATTTAAAACTATTGAATCTCTCTATGTTAATCAATTTAATAATAATAATTAAGTATATTAAATAACATGCATTATTATTTTAGAAATACAAAGAATAAAAAAAAATAAAATAAAAATAATAATACCAACCTGAACTTTAGTTCTTTCTGAATGAATAACATCCACATTTATGCCATCATAAATTAATTCATGAAATAATTCCTTAGATCTGTCAATTGATTGAACGAATATCAATACAGGAGGTTTCAATTCACCTCTCTGAATCATTTGTCGTACAGCGATCAATTTTCCTTCTTCTTGACCCACGTATACGAGTTTTTGGTTAATGGTATCAACTGCCGCATTCCTATTTATTTTTTTAGTACCAATAAAGAATTTTTTCGAAAAATTGGTAAAATTTCAAATTCGAATTTTATATATATATGTGTATGTGTGTTAATCTAATCGATTCTTTTTTTAAAAAAATAAGATAAATTACTTGAGCCCAATTACGACCCTAATTGGATCTTTCATGAAATTATCGGCTAAAGCCTCAACACCCGAAGGAAGTGTAGCGCTATACAATGATTTTTGTAATTTAATGTTCGTACAAGCGGAAAATATCACATCAGTTTGTTCTAGAAATCCAAGTTCAAGTAGTTTATCCGCTTCATCAAGAATCAAGTGATGAACGCTAACGAATGATTATATATAATGATGTGAATTAATAAGGGAGGTGATTGACATCAAATGTTTATTCAAATACGCGAAATATATGGTGAAGGTATAAGTTACTTTTTCAAATCAATTTTTTCTTCTTGAATAGCATGGACAAGACGAAGAGGTGTGCTGATTAGGATATCTTAATATAAATAACACCAGTAATAAGTCAGTTTTCAGTGTAACATCATCTTAATATATTCGCAACATAATCGACGATTTATTATTCAATCATACCAAATTTTGGTCTAAGGTGAGTTGCTTGCGATTGTGTAGCAGCTGACGTCTTCGTCAACATACATATCTTGAATTTTTTACCAACGCACATTTTTTTGAATTCTCGATGTATCTAAAATATATATATATATATTTACGATATCGTTATTTTTTGTGTAAAAAAAAAAAAAAAGTCAAAATCGTCTCTGATTTAGATAACAAACTTGTTTCGCCAATTCTCTAGTCGGCGAAATGATCAAGGCACGATAACCCATTTTCTCTGAACCTTTAAGGTCATGTAAGATTGGTAATATATATGCCAAGGTTTTACCAGATCCTGTGGGAGCCATAGCCATAAGATCTCGTCCCTTTAAAGTAAAAAATTTATTGTTATTTCGATATAATATAATTAATTACATCCGATATGTATATTCTTACATATAACATAATTGGCACCGCTTGCATTTGAATTGGAGTAGGTTGTTTATACGTTGAGGATTCTAAATTTCGAATTAAATATGATTGAAAATTGTATTGTGTCTCGAGATCCTTGAAAGAACCAAATGGATTGGGAATATCCGTGCCGTATACTCGAATTTTATGTCGTTTTCTGAACATCTTAATCTATCAATTCAATTCAAATTGAATTTAATAATGTTTTCTTAATAATTCATAATAATTCATATAATAAATTTTTGTATAATAACGAACATCATCTTGAGAATTGAAATTTGTAGGTTCATTATTGATTTCCTCGTTATCTTCACTATCGGTAGAATGATTATTTTGAACTTTACTTTGTTCTACTTGTTCTACGTTATCTAAATAAATAAATAAAATTATAAGAATTAAAGTATAATAAAAATTAAGAGTTAATTTAAAACTAACCATCCACTACTTTCTCTATTGATTCCTTTATTCCCAACGACTCTTCAATAGCGCGTTTACTATTGTGAAAAAAATCGATCTCTTGGATAAGATTTGTTTGCATATCTAAATCATTTTCTATCTTTTTCATGGGAATGGGTTTGTTTGAAGGCTGATAATTCAAAGAATTCAAAGAATCTGTCAAAAAAAAAATTTGATCACATATTGAATCGACAGTAATTGCACCGAAAATTCATTGAATTCATACCTCGAAAAGCGAGACTACATCTTTGAAACGTTTCTTGTCAAACTTTGCACCTGCTCCGAGAACTTTAAGTAAGTCCATGATTTTTCTGATTTGATAAAAGTTGATTAGTCAATTTTATCAATTTTTTTTTATTGATCTGCAAATTTATCTCAATTTTCATTTTTACGTATGGCATTTTGGAAACCAGGAACAGTTGCACCAGGTACGATTTTAATAGAATTCGTAAAAATTCATAATTCAAATTTTCTTGAATTCAATTAAATTGAATTAAATTAGGAACAAGCCTTGATAGAGAAGCGGAAAAAGAAACTAGCGAAAATATAATACCATTTGTGGAACAATATTCTAATGTATCTATTCAGCAACAACGAAAAAGACTGCCAATATATAAATCACGTAAAATTCTTACAAATTAATAATAATTCGTAATATTAATTTAGAATAAAATAATTACTTGATTTTCTATTTTTTTTTTTAAAAAAAAAAAGGTGACCAACTACTTTACCTTATAGAAAAGTATCAGGTAACAATAGTTGTAGGGCAGACAGGAACTGGTAAAACAACGCGTAAGTATTGAAGTATTGATTAATGTTTGTAAGGAAATTTGAAAAATTCACGTAGCAATCAAATTTTTCTTCGGGAAATTAAATAAGTTTATTCATGTTAGAATTACCCCAATATCTTAATGAAGCCAATTGGACCGTCAGTGATCGAGTTGTAGCCTGCACACAGGTAATACTATTAATTCCTTTATTTTTTTTAAAAAAAAAAAAAATTTTATATGAAGAATCATTATGAAAAATATATTTATATATAAATGGATTATTTAGCCTCGTCGTGTTGCGGCTACAACGGTTGCTGAGCGTGTTGCTACAGAAATGAATGTAAAGCTTGGGGATGAGGTAAATTTCTTTTTTTTTTAATTATTGAATATATTAAATACTTTAAATCCTTTTTTTTAATTATATTTTTGGATAAAGGTCGGATATAGCATTCGATTTGAGGATTGTACTGATCCGGTCAAAACGCGAATCAAATATATGACCGATGGAATGTTGTTTCGAGAAATTTTTCTTGATCCATTATTAACAAAATATAGTGTAATAATGATTGATGAAGCGCATGAACGTAGCTTATATACGGATGTTTTATTAGGAATTTTGAAAAAGTAAGTTTTTAAGTACACAAATAACTTCTTTTTTTTTTAATATACAATGAGAATGATATTTTTTTTAACTTTGTTCCAATAGAATTCTTACAAAACGACCAGAATTAAGAATAATAATTGCATCAGCTACTTTGGATGCGGAAACATTCTATGAATTTTTCAATACGAACATGACGGATGACCCAGAAAAAGATGATGTCTCAATAATTTCATTAGAAGGAAGGTTATTCCCGATCGATATACATTATTTGAAGGAATCTTCTCCGGATTATGTGGAAACTGCGATACAGACCGTTTTTGATATTCACGTACAGGTTAATATGAATTATCCTTATAATAAATAATCAATTTGATGTCTTATTAATCAATTAAAAATTTTATTAATTTCATATTAAATTTTTTAATTAAATATCATATCCAATTGGATATAGCAACCACTTGGAGATATTCTCGTGTTCATGACGGGACGGGACGAAATCGAACAAGTAGTTGGAGAAATATCAGAAAGGGCAACAACGTATTTTATTAATTTTTCATTAATTTTCATTAATTATATCCTTTAAATGATAAAAATTATTTAATAATAAAAATAATTATTTATTAGACTACCACGATCTGCCATGAAAATTTTACCATTGCCAATTTATGCTGGTTTACCTGTAGAACAACAATTACAGATATTTGAAACAACACCTCATAATACTAGAAAAGTAGTTGTGGCTACAAACATAGCTGAGGCTTCAATAACTATTGAAGGTATCGTGTATGTAATTGATTGCGGGTTTGTAAAAGTATGTATAAATATTTATTATTTGAATTTTTTTTTTTTTTTTTTATTTCGCGATCATTTCTTTTTAAAAATAGAAATAAATAATATAAAATTTATGACAAAAAAAAAAAAATTAAATTAAATATTTTTAAAAAAAGTTGCGAGCCTATAATCCAAAAACTGGTATGGAAAGTCTTACGGTGACTCAAATTTCAAAAGCGTCTGCACAACAAAGAGCTGGACGAGCCGGAAGAGTTAAAGCAGGAAAAGTGTATAGACTTTATACGGAAGATTCGTTTTATGATTTAAAGGAATCTAGCATTCCTGAGATACAAAGGTGAGAAATTATTATAAGTGTATATATATATTGTAAATGTTATAATTACATAATTATAACATTAAAAGTTCTTTCTGACAATAAATTAATTACATTTACAGAAGCAATTTGGCTCATGTAATACTACAATTAAAAGCACTAGGATTTGATAATGTGGTGAAATTTGATTTCATAAGTTCGCCTCCTTCAGAACTTATGATGCGTGCTTTAGAGGTCTGTTTAGATATTTATATCTATTTTTTTTATAATTCTTATTAAAGAAAGATTAAGATTAAAAAAAAGGTTAGAAGAATTTTTTCTTTTAACATTTTAAATCCATTTTGTAGTTATTATATTCCTTGAAAGCTTTGGATGATAATGGAAGGTTAACAATGTTAGGAATGCAAGTTGCAGAATTTCCTGTTGATCCTCTGCTTGGAAAAATAGTAAGAATAAAAAAAAAAATTAATACTTATTTTAATTGAAAATTTCTTTGAGTAAATTTTATTTATTTATATTTTTAACTTTTGTTTATAACAAAAAGTTATTGGATTCTTATAAATTTCAATGCGCAGAAGAGATTCTTTCAATTTCTGCAATGATTTCAGTTCAGGTAAAATAATAATTATCATAATCTTTTGATAGTGTTTCACAATGACGTAATGAATATAATAATAATATATAAATATAATTTAGAATGTTTTTCTACATTCTACGAACTCTTCTATTAATGCAGAAGAGGAAAAAATGAAATTTGCTGTTGAAGAAGGAGATCACATTACATTATTGAATGGTAAGACACTTTATTTTCTATAATTCCGTAAAAAGTTAATAATAATTATAAATTATATAGCATATTTTCTAATCTTTATAAGTATTCAATGCATTTGTCACCCGTGGCAATAAATCTGCTCGATGGTGTCAAAAACATTGTCTAAACTTTCGTGCTCTATCTCGTGCACTTTCGATCAGACAACACTTAAAAAAATATCTTGTCAGATTTGATGTACCAATTGAATCATGTGGGAATGATACAGTAAAAATAAGGAAATGTTTGGTGAGTGGGTACTTTTCTCAAGCAGCCAAGATGATGCCTGATGGATCGTTTCGGACTATTAGGGATAATGTTGTACGTTTTTTTTTGGTTGTTTTTTTTTTGGTACAGTTTAAGTCATTTGTACATAAAAATATTTGTAGGTTAAGAATAAGATTTTCTTTTTTGTAGGTGATATATATTCATCCTTCATCAATTATGTTTACACGTAAAGCACCTTGGGTCATATTTCATGAAGGTAAAAAAAAAATAGTAGTTTATACGTGTCAATTTATTTTTGATGTGATCTCATCCTATTTTCTTTCTCTTATTTCATGTAGTTGTGGAAACTACAAAAACATTCATGCGTGATCTCACGGTGATCGAACCTTCGTGGTTAGCAGAGTTAGCGTTAAGTATATTTATTATTCATTATTCATTATTATATTTATTATTATTATTATTATTATTATTATTATTATTATTATTTATTATTATTATCAACAACAATTTATTCAATTATTTATTTTTTATTTCGAGATAACTCATGCGTATTTTATATTTTATTTAGTCCACATTTCTATGAATTCAAGACGAAACCACTTCTTAAACATTAATGGCATTCAAATTTATATGAATTTGAATGTAAATTTTTGGGTAAATTTTTATGAAAATTTAATAAATTTATGTAAAATCATTAGATTTCGGATAAAGTTGAAAAACCTTATAAACCATTTTTTATTTTGACAATAAAATGTAATAATAACATTGATTAAAAAAAAAAAATTTTTTTTATCATTAACCGCTAATATTCTATTTTAATAAGTATTTGTAATTAAAATATATATATATATAACTATATATAAAATAACTGATTAAAGGAAAGTTTTTCTTTTAAATTTTATTTATTTTTTTTTTTCTAATTTAAAAAATATATATATCTCTATATTTTTTGATTTTTTATTTTTTTTTTTTGTTTAAAAATAAAATTGATCATTTATTTTATTGATGATTTACAATTTAATAATATATAAAAATTTTTTTATGGTGGTGGTAAATTGGTATAATCATATTTCTTTCCTTGAAGTAATGATGCTTTTTCATTATGTAATAACTTGTAAGAATTTTTTATGGTAACTTCCGAAACACCCGTAACTTGAGCAACATCTTTAGTAGATTGTGGTTGATTATAAAGACATGAAGCCATATAAATACATGCCGCTGCGACAGAGACAGGTGATTTTCCAGCCAGAGTTCCTAATTCTTTCGTTTTTATTGTAAGTTCAGTAGCCGTTTTTTGTATTTCCATTCGGAGTTTTAACATCGAACAAAATCGGGACATCAAATCTTCAGATGCCATAGTTGATACATTAGTTTCAAATGTACGAATTAATGTTTTAAAACAACGACCAATTTCTTTCTTTGGAACTCTAGTTATCACACAAATCTCTTTAAATGTTCGAGGAACATTTTCTTGTCTACAAGCTATAAATATACATGCGGCAATAATTGATTCAGTACTTTTACCCCTTAAAAGTTTTTCTTCTTCTACTCTTTTATATAATTGTTTAGCAATATCAGCAATTAATCTTGTTAATCCAATAGAATCACTCATTGCTGTTATTTCTTGATAAGCATTAAGAAGATTTTTTTCACCCTTAACAGCATTAGCTCGACCGTGAACTTTATTAAGATCTCTAGCAGTTCCAGAACCTCCATCCCTTCTGGAAATTACTGTGTCTAATTGTGAGCCATCTAAAAGTGGGTTAGCAGCTGCACCGACACGAGAAGGGTCATCACCATCATCATTTGCAAAAGTTCTCCATTCTGATCTTGTATCAATAATACGGTCACCAAGAACCAAACCGCAGTCACCACAAACAAGATCACCACTTGCGAACTCTTCAATGATATTTGGTACTTGTTTTCTACAATCTGGACAAATTATTTTGATATTTAAATCAGGTAAAATTTGTTTTGGACCCACATCAGCTTGAGGTTGTAAACGTGGAAAAGGAATATTTGACATATTTTTTTTTTTTTTCACAAGTTATTGAGTGATTTTAATTAAAATAAAGTAGTAAAAAAGAGAAAACTTCAATAAAGGGGTAAAAGTACTAATAGTTATGGTAGTAAGTTCACAACAACGGAAAGGAAAACAAAAAAAAAAAAAAACGGAGTTATAATGAGCATTTAAGCATTCAAAGATACTTTATATATAATTAATGTACATGATTACGCCATATGATTTCTTTCGAATTTTATTGGTCTTTAATTTTTACATTTATTCCGAATTAGTTACTTTAGAAACAATATAAAAAATACAATTATTTCTTTTTTTAATTAATTAATGGAAATTATTTATTATTATTACTATTATTTTCTTTATTTTCTTACTTAAAAAAACTAATAAAGAAAAGCTAATAAAGAAACGATTATAATAAATAATAAAATTCTTTTTGAATGTAATCGAAATTTTCAATGCCCTTCATGGGATTTCAATTTTTGATTCATGTAAGCTTTATAGAGAAAATTGAAATAAAAAAAAAAATTTTTTTGAATGATGGTTAGTAAATTAAGTGTCATAAGATTAATATTTATAATTAATTCATTTTCAAAATTCTAAATCATAAATTATAAGTATAGATAAATGAATTTAAAAATATTTACCTCGAGGATTACGAGGATCAGTATCAAAAGGAGGTTCTGTAAAAAGAGTTATTCATAGAAATAAAAAATATAAAATATATTGAAATATATATATATTTTATATATTTTTTGTGAAATGTTTTTATATTATTAATTTTTTCATTCATTTCATTTCATTCTCTGGTAAAAAAAAAAATTAAATAAAATGATAATTATATATTACATTGAAAAAAAAAATAAAACTTACGAGATTGTGCTATGGTTTCAATTTTATAAATAGCATATAAAACAATTGAAGCAGATGCAATAAAAGGTGCCATGGGTCTTACAATTGGAACAGGCCATTTACGTAAACCGAGAAATCCCATTTTTGTTTTAAATAATAATAATAATAATGAATGATGATAATATAATTAACGATACATTTGACGATACAATAATAACTGTATTAAATTTATTGAAAATTCGTTTTTATTGGTTGATCAGCAAGAATTCTCTCTGATTGGCCAAAATTAAATAATATTAAGATTTTTTCCTTACACTAATTTCGTGCCTTGTTCATGATGAGATTGAATTCTAGTTGGTAATAGCGGATTTCATCAGTATTAGGATTATCATTCTATTGTTGTCGTCAGAAATCATAGACTTTACGATAGATCGATAGATATTTTTATATTTTTTTTTAATTGCTGAGACATCAATAATTCTTTTTCAATGTGATGAGGACTTTATTAGAAAGATAATGTAAAAAAAAAAAAAAAAATTATTTATTAGAAAAGCGATATGACAATTATTTTGTAGTAATTAAACATAACATTTATATTGTTTCTTTATACATTTAATAAATTGATAAAGTTTTTTTTTTTTAATAGAATAAGTAATAATATACATTTATTTCAAATAAAAATGAAAATAAGATTTTCAATGCAGACGTTTGTTTAAACCTGTAATTTTAGTATCATACATTAAAATATGTCTTTTAAAAGACAAGAGACAGCTATTCAAAAATTGACTATGTTATTCTTAATTCCCTGTTTTGAACTTAGTTAATTAGTCAAATTTCTTATCAAATACTACATTTGAGCTTTCGTTCATCATATTGTCACATTCAAATTAAAATCCAATCATGATCATCATCATCATCTTTTATTATTATTTTTATCATTATTATTATATGTTAGATAAAAAGAAAACGTTGAACCAAAATATGATCTTATGATAATCTTGATATCTTTTCTAAAGATTTGTATAAATAAATGTTTCCACATTTCGAAGGCATTAAATCTCAATTGTGATCTAGCGTTAATTTATTTCTTTCGCATTCAATCAATATTTGTATGAAGGATCAAGTAAGATCGGTAAACCCATTATCACCTGTAATATATTTCGTACAAATAATAAATGTAGATTAGTGTGCAGTAATTCATTATCACCTAGATCTTGAATAATGAACAATTTTTTCTGTAATCTTTGATGTTAGTGAATCATATAATTTTACATGTGAGGTCCAGATCCATTGTAATTTCGCTCTTTCTTGAATTCAAATTCTTTTCATCACTATCATAATGAATTTAAACTTCCCCATTAATAAATTAATCTATTCTATATGATTAAATGAAATGGAATCTATATTCAAAATGTTATCTGATGAAAATGCTATATTGCAAATGTTATCTTATGAAGTGATGCTATGAAATGGAATGAAATTCTATATGCATATCTACATGCATATCTATATGAAAATTTCCCAAATAAGAAAAATTTTTTAATCACGATTCTATGTTAGTGAATCCTCTTAAACAAAAAAAAAACACTTTTAAAATAAATAAACGTTAATGAAAAGATCAGTGACCTATATCGTTATGACAAAGAGACCTCCAAAATGATTAACATCGAGAAATACTGGTGATTCTTTTATCTTCAAAACCTTGATTTGACAAATCTTGTTTACTATAAAAATGACTAAGGATTTACGCATATAAATAAACATTATAATAACAATTAATAATTAACAATAACAATTTCGAAACTAATAAATATTAAAAAAAAAAGAAAAATATAATACTTAAAGATTCTGTTATTCCTTACCAAAATATATTGCAGTTTAATTTAAATTTATTACAAATTTAATGTTATCGTGCTTCTTATATCGGAAACATTTGAACGCTTACTCTTTATTTTATTTTCGAGATGTTAACTTTCAGTTTTCATGCAAATAATTCTTTTTGGATCCACTTTTTTCGAAATCGAATTTCTATGGATGATTTACGATGCATTAATCAACGGTTTATTCCATAAAAGTTGTAAACAAAAATCAAAGTTTCCTTTTATGGATAAAATTATACTTTTAGAATTATTATTAATTTTCACCGGAGGGAAAATTATCCGGTGGGCAGAATTAAGTTAATGTTGGTAGGGTTAGGGTTAGGGGTTTGACCAGAAATTATGTAATTCTGCCTACGATAAAATTTCCCCCCGGTTAAATGTAGTTTTTTTTCTATTATTAATTAATAATAATATATATTAATAATATTATTTTTTTTTTCCTTAAACGGTAGTGACGTCACAAGTTACTAATAAATTTGCCTTCAATTCACATATTTATCGTTTAAGGGATAAGTGTTTAAAGAAATATTATTGTAAACAAATTATATAAATCGAACAATTATTTAATAATATTTATAAATATAAATAAATAAAAGAATTAATAATCTTTTAACGACTTTATGTATTTTAAATTGCAATTTAATTTTTATTGTGTAATCGAAAAGAGTGAATAATCTTGTTGAATTAATTAAATTATGAATCAATACTTCAATAAAACTTATTATTAACTATTAAATATTTTTCTGTCGCTTTAATTAATTCTGTATTTCTTTAATGACTAACGGGTTTCCTAATTAATTCTGTAAAATCGAATATTAATTATTATTAAATATTATTAAAATTATTTATTTTTACTAATTTTAATTGGTTAAATAATATTTATTTATTTATTTTTTATTTTTATATAATATAATATTACCAATTAAAATAAATAAAATAAGAACACACATGTATTATCGCCTTTTCATTAACTTTTTTTTATAATAAAATTTTAACAATAAAATTCTGAAAACAATTCATTGTCTACTACTTCGTGAGGAAAAAAGGAAAAGAAAAAAGGAACAAAACAAATTTGTTATTGTTTACTCTTCAATTCATTTTTTCCATTCACTAATTAAAAATTTTTTTTTTTTTATATATTTTTTTTAATTAAAAAAAAAATATATTAACGACGCAATTTTATCATTATGTGAGGGGGGAAGTTCTTGAATTTTTTCTCTCAAAAGTGATAAAAATAAAAAATAAATTAAAGACGATTAATTTTAATTGTTCAATGTAGATGGCAAATTGTGTGTATTTCATATCCAATGGATATTTTTTTTCTCAAAACAATTGTGAATAATGCTGCGAGAATTCTCGAAAATTTTCAAGATACTCATATGTAAATTCACTAAAAGGGTGGAAATTTTTAAAAATTTTTTTCGATTAAAAGAATTTTTTTTTTTGAAATTTTTCATTCAGGAAAATCTTGAAGGCAAATGTTGGGCAATAGGGAAACATTCAAGCGTCGATCAAGCTGCTGTATTACAGTACTTTGTTATTGTTACACGTATTTTGGTTGGACGACTATGAAATGTAATTAATGCATGTTGTAGATTATTATCATTATCGGTTCCTAAATTAGGAAACTATATTACTAATTTCGGATGCTGATTTATGTGGTAATGGTTTACAAACATGTAGATAAAAAAAGTACTTGAAATAAAAACCGTTGGGGGAATTTTTAACCAAATTCTTCCATCGTGTTTCATAAAAAAAGATACCTGGTTGATCCTGCCAGTAGTCATATGCTTGTCTCAAAGATTAAGCCATGCATGTCTAAGTATAA